CATTCCAGCCTCACTCTCTTCTATCACTGTGGACTGACAGCCTTGGTAGATGTAAGTGTGGTGGCTGGCCCCCGTAAGTAGTTCATATGCTGGAATACTTGGTACCAAGTTGGTGGAACTATTTGGGAAGGGGTAGGAGGTGTGGCCTTGTTGCAGGAAATGTGTCATTGAGGGTGGGCCTTGAGGTTTACAAATCCTTATGCCATTATGAGTTAGTTTCTCTCTCTTTGTCTCTCTCTCTCTCTCTCTGTCTGCCTTGTGGTTGTTCTTTCAAGATGTGAGCTCTCAGCTACTGCTCCAATGCCATGCCTGCCTGCTGCCATGCTCCCTGATGTGATGGTCACAGGAGGGCTCTAACCCTCTGAAACTATAAACCCCAATAAAGTCTTTCTTTTATAATTTACCTTGGTCATGCTGTCTCTTCACGGCAATAGAAAAGTAACTAAGACAGGACGATATATAGGCATCTTGCAAGTCTTGTGATTCAGGCTTGTGACTGCAGTGCCTCAGGACAGGAAGATTGAGGGTTCGAGGTCTGCCTGGTTTACAGAGTGAGTTCAGGGACCCTGAATGGAGCCCTGCCTCACATTAACAAGAGGTGATCTGTTGGGGGAAGTCCTGTGCATTTGTCAATAAAGTACTGTTGAGCCTATAGGGAACCAAGATAGGAGGGACTAGGAGTCCAGGAGAACTCTGGGAAGGAGAAACACAGGAGAGTCGAGATGTAACGCCATTGGGGTAGGAAGCCCGGAAACCTCTCCGGTAAGAGACATACTTAGATTAACAATTATGGGGTAATTACTTAAGTCAGAGCTAGCCAGTAAGAAACAAGCAAGGCCAACAGCTTCATAATTAATATAGCCTCCTGTGTGTTTATTTGGGACTGATGCGGATCTGGAACCAGGCGGGCGGGAAGGCTTCTCTCAAGGAAAGCTTCTCTTAACAGTGATCTGCAAAGGTAGCTCAGCAGGAAAAGGGGTTTCCCAAGCAAGCTTGGCCTCCTGAGTAGCCCCATGTCAAGGGCAGGAGGAGAGAACGAGCCCCACAATGTTGCCTTCTGACTCCCACACGCATGCCATGGCAGGAGACTTCCCTGCCCTCATCACATACACAGTACAATCTTTAAAAATTGTCAGGTGGTGGTGGCAGCACATTGCCTTTAGTTCAAGACAGTGTTTCTCTATTTAGCCCTGGCTGTCCTGGAACTCACTTTGTAGAGCAGGGTGGCCTTGAAATCCCAGAGATCCGCCTGTCTCTGTCCCCCAACTGCTGGGATTAAAGGCATGAGCTACTATGCCCACCTCAATTAAACTTTTTTAATTAAAGAAGTGATGTATGGCTCTGGGACATTCCATCTTTTTACATGGTTTTTGGGGACCCTGCAAGATCTGACCCCTGATGACCTCTCTCCCTTCATTTTCTCTTTACGAGCCACATGCAATTTTTAAAGTCTCGGTCCTTTTATTCCTAGTGGCCTCCATATTTACTTCCTCTGCCAGCCACATGCCCGCTAGCCTCCATCACAAAAGGGAAAGTCAGAAAGAAGTCACTAAGGGAAGTGGGGATGTGATGGCTCAATGCAGGTGAGGGCTGTGGGTGACACCATGCATTATTAGACGATGACTTTGTACATAGCCCAAGGCAAGTGGCACCCAAGTTGCAACGCTATTCCACGCTTGCCTGCCTCTGTTGTGTGTCCCTACAGCATCTGAGAAAGCAAAGGTAAATTATCCAAGTGCTACCAGATCTACTCCTATTGCCATTTCTTAGATCCTTGTGACCTCGAGCAATGGAAATTTCCTTTGTATCATGTAGTGGATTTGAGTATATGATCTATTATCTCTCTCAGGCCATCCATGCATCCAACAGTCACACAGTAACCACTTAGGAAGATTCTACCATGAGCTCAGATCTAGGCTGAGCCATTGAAGGGAATCTAGAATGAGTACTTAGTGTTGCTTCAGTGCTTGCCTTCTGGAAGTTTCCCACCCATCCAGGAAAATAGATATGTGGGTAGTCTACAAATAACACTACACTAAATCAACTGCTTGCCTTATTAGTCTGCCCGGACTGCTGTTAATAGCAAAATGCCACAGGCTGGACATCTCAAGCAAGCAGAATTGTGTATTCCTTCACAATTCTGGTGCCAGCGTGGCCAGATGCTTCAGACAGCTGACTTCTCACTGAGTCCTCCCATGACCAACAGAGAGACTGAGACAGCCCTGACCGCATCTTATAATCCCATCAGGAGGGATCTACGGGCATGACCTCACCTACACTCAATTCTCTCCTTAGACCTCCACCATCCAAATATCATAGCTGTCACGCCTAGGACTTCCAGATGTGAATTACAGCAGCCATAATTCAGCTCATAGCATCTGTCATGGGCTAAGCTGATAAAACTATCACCTTAATCCTTACACCAGCTCCCTCCAGGCCCATTGCCCTGTGCTCACAGAGGAGGAAAGGGCAGCTTAAAGAGGCTCAGGACCAGCTGGAAGCCACACAGCAGGAGCCGGTCCCAGTAGGGTGTGTGATCTTGAGGTCACTGTGTCCCCAGTAAACTGCTACCCACCCTACGACTGCCTGTGTGAAAAGCTCCCCTGCCTGATGCTCTGGGAAGCATCCAGAGTGGGTAATGTAGGCTCCCAGAAAAGTCCTGGCTTCTGAGCTCCTTCCTGGTCCAGCAAGGCCCTACACGAGTTGACCAAGGAAACCTGTGAATGGCCTTCAAGCAGAAAAAGTGTATCGGGAGAGATTTAGCGGAGAAGAGAACCAACTCATCTGCAGTCGCTGGAGTTGACAGCCAAGCTGCTTGCTTCACACAAAAATGGCTTCAAAAAGAAAAGGCCATCAATGTTTAATGCTTCCACTCACCAGGGTAGAGGACTCAGCATACGCCTGTGCCCCCCCTTCCCCGCAGAGGCTGCCCTAGCCACTCTTGGCTCTGCAGTGGCATCCTGATGCTGAATGTACCCCTGGGATATACCACAGTCTAAGATACCACCGCACAGGCAGTACGGGAAAGCAAAGGGTACCCCCCAATGCCAGGAAATTCAAAATGTACAAGCCCACAATTACTAAAATTAGGTGGTTTGTTTGTTTGTTTGTTTTCTAGATCCTCTGTCTTCAAACACCAGACCTGTCCAGCTCCCCAAGTGCTGCTTTGCTGGGCATCTGGCTCTTGCTGGCTATACCTGAGGCCATCAAGCATCCCCTATGCTCTGCCCGCCTTAAGGGTCTCAAAGGCCGTGCAAAATCTTCATGGAAAATCCCAACTCCATGCAGACAGTCACTCTCTGAGCTGAGTGGGGACAACAGCAAAACATTCAGCCATAGGTCATTTGCATTTGATCAGCTCCATTGAGAATGCAGAGATGGAGACAGGAAGGAGAAACAGAGAATTTGTACAGGAGCTCCGGGCTATTATACCCTGGGGTGGAGGTGCTTTTGTACAGTTCAGATGGAATTACACTAACACAAGCCCCTGGATGCAGGCAGCTGTGGCCTATTCATCTGATCATCCCAGCTCAGTGCGTGGCTCTAGGCTGCACATTCCTCCTCTACCCCAGTAGACTTTAAAAGTTTCTCACAGCCCCAGCTGCTGGCTCAGAGTTGGGGGTATGAGTTTACGACCTGCCTTTCCATCTCCCTGCGGTGAGGACAAATGACTCTGTGTCCGAGTCTGTAGGTCCTTATCTATAAAGTGGGAGTGACAGTTTTACTCACCCCGTGGATTAGTGAGTGAGATTAACTTGACAGGCTGCTTTTGTTGTCTGTGACAGAATACCAGACAGGAGTGACTGAAGGGTAGAAGGATCCCTTTGGCTCACTGTTGAAAGAGAACAGTTCAACATGGTGAGGGCACCAGCTTGACAGCCGGGGCTCAGTGGAGGCAATGGGAGCTTTGTGGCATAACTTGTCAACATCTCAGTATATCAGAAACCCACTGGAAGCAGGGCTGAGCCATAGCTCTCACCATAGCCCTCCAGAGCCCTCCTCCAGGGACCCCCACCTCTCAGCCATGCCTCCCACACTGAGGTTCACACCACAGCAACCTGAAGGCAGGTCTCCAGAAGAGCGCCACGTAGACAGAGAGCACTCCCTGAAGAGGAGCTACGATCACTTTTATCAGCAGGGTCAGCACTCTGTAGTTTTCCACGTCTGGAATGTTTCTCCATACCTGGTGAGAGCTTTCCTAAAACCACCATAAACTTGAGGCCAGCCTGGGCTACTTGAGACAGTGTCAAGAAAGAAAAGGGCTGAGAGAACATAATAGAAAAGTTTTTATTTCCTGTCTCTGATAAGAAACAAAGCTGAAAACGGTGCAAAGAATCAGCTTCAGTCTGGTTGGTGGCCTCTTCACCCTCCAGGCTGCTCTGTGTTGTGGAGAACTGTACAAAGACAGCTGAAAGTTCAAGGACTGCCAGCCCCAGACAGAGCTGCTCTTCTGCTCCCGGTTGCAGGGGTAGATGACAACAGAGAAAGAAGTTACTTCTCAAGCTGGGCTCAGGTCTGGGAACCAGTTGGAAGTGGCTTGAGGGGGGCGGGGATTGAGGTAGGACTTGCCACTAAAGTGCTTGCTTGGGAGGTGGGCTCTGTGGGAGTTCCTTCTGGTGTCCTCCAGACAGCTTCCTGAGTCCCTCACGTTCTCTGGTGTTCCTGGCTGCCTTGGCAGCGTGAGACAGGAAAGTTGTGAGGCCGGTGACTTGTGGGGTCCCTGCCCTTACCTGGTAATGCCTTCTGGTCCTGAGCACCGTCTAGTGAGCCTGTTGCATACACACAGACACACACATACACCAAGCGTGCTCTGTAGATCTCTCAAGCACTATTTAGAGATTTTGCTCTCCCTCACCCTGGTGGGTATTTCTAGCCCCCAGATGGGAGAAAAGCCCTGAAATCTGAGCAGAAGGCATCCTCAGTGACACGCCTAGAGACAAGCATTAATAGAAGCCTCCCTCAGGCCGATGACACGTCTGGGCAGCTGCTCCAACTGCCCAGTGTCTCTCAGTCCCAAGGCCAGCCCACTCTGGCTCAGCCAGACACACTAAACTTAGCTTCCACTCCCAACTCCACAGCTACGGCCACCATCTAGCTGGCTGTCGCCTCTCTCTGGGAGACACTGCTGCCCCCTGCCCAGAGCACCCACACCTCAGTGACCACCATGTCACAGACCAAGACATTGAAGGTTCGTATGACACTCTTCTTCATCCTGGTAGGGGGAGTGCTGGCCATGGTGGCTGTGGTGACTGACCACTGGGCCTTGCTGAGCCCGCACCTGGAGCACCATAATGAAACTTGCGAGGCAGCCCACTTCGGCCTCTGGAGGATCTGCACCACGCGCATTGCTGTGCGTGACAAGAAAGACAAGAACTGTGAACGCATCACGCTGTCAGGGGGTAAGGTCCCCATTCTCTCTGCCTTCTTCCATTTCTTGTCCTTCCAAGACCCCGAGATAAGTTGCCTGTGGGAATTGAGGTGTTGCCAGCCTTTCCTGCAAGGGAAGAGATGGGAACAGCCTGGGGTAGTGTTTACGGTCACAGCCAAGGTGGAAAATGAAAGCATTCGTCTCCAGCTCCAGTGCAGGTTGCTAGAGTTAAGACTACTGGTCTACCAGACCGGGGACTTCTGACCCTAGCAGCAGGTGCTCAGAGATGATAGTGGCATCCTCTCTCTGAACAGATTAGCTGGTGACCCTAAGATTTCAAGCTAGAGGAACTATGGGGCAGACTGGCTCCTTCCTCAGCCTCTAGACAAACATATAGACAGGACTACCACCTAGTTTTCCAGGTCCTGAAAAAAGGGAAGCACTAGGTTCCTTGTTCTTAAGTACCTATATTTTCAAGTTGGTAACGGCAGAACATGAAATCAAGCATGGAGTACTTGGGGAGTCAGGGCGGTGGGGGAGGCTGCTGCGTGCTCCTGAAGCAGATGTGGTGGATGCCTTGTTTGGGTCTGTGGTCCTACTGTGTGTTCTCCCTTAGTTCATATCACTCAGCTCTTCAGTGTTTCCTTCTGTGCCAATTGAACGGTATTCTTCCATTCCCTCCCCATACCTTGCAAGCAAGTTCCTTGCCTAGGAGCTCTGGTGTTGGAGTGATGTGTCTCTACCCTACCAGGGTAGAGCCCCTAGGACTCAGAGCAAGCAGAGGATGCATGGTGGGAAAGAACATGCCAGGGAGAGGAGAGGCCCAGGCTGTAGCCAACATTACCCATTGCCCTCTAAAAGGACTTTTTCTTGTTGAGACATCATCTTGAGCTAGCTAGCTAGTCTGTGTATGCAATTCTGGGGGTGAAACCCAGGGCTTTGTGAATGCTAAGCAAGGCCTCTGCCATCTGAGCTACACCCTTAGCCCTGTGAAGGACTAGTCAGGCCCATCTCAGCCTCTGCTTCACCTGTGGAAAGCAGTAGGGTTACTTCTAGAGCTCACAACGTCTCCAAGGCCTCTGTGGACCATTGCATGTGTGGCTTCCATCCTGATGTTCAGGATGACTCCTTCTATGTCCTGCCTGACACCTGCCATTCCAGCAGTCAGTCCCAGGTCTCAAAGACCCAGCAGCAAGGAGCGAAGAACCCGCCTTCCCTCTCTTCTCTTCCCTCCTCTTCCTTAGCTCTTGCTTCAGGAAACCTGGGTGTCACTCATCACTGCTGGGGAACCAGGGATTTGTAACCACTCAGCTGTCTTGGAAACACAGAGTCTCAGGGTAGAAGGTTTTGATGGACATGAGCACATGCTCAAAGGCTATCACATAGCCTGATGTCCACACCCCTTGGCCACTCAACACACTTGTAAACAGATGCATCCATCCGGCCAACACCCTGGGCAGAGCAGGGCGAGGCAGCTTCTCCAGGATCGTGAGTGGTTCTGTCCCCCTGTCCCTAGAGCCCGTGCCTTTTAAAGTCAGAGCAGATGAGCCATGTCTACGCAGAAAAGGAACAGGCTGATGAGAACACCAGCCTCAGGGGACCAACAGGCAAGGCTTGGCCTGAGTCCTAAGCAGTCTGTTTGTCTGCCTTCTTGCTCTCATCAGCTGTAAATTATACTGCCCGCACTTGCGACACAGAACCTAACCTACTCCAGCTGGGTTCCAAATCCTGTTGCTGCATCCAAATGGACATTTCCTTCCCATCTACCTTTTCTATGCTCCCTAAAAACTGTCTTTTCTGAAAGAGAGTTCACACAGAGCTCTCTCATTCATCAACAACTATAATAAGACACACCTATGTAGGGCTCTGTGCTATATTTGCGTATATTAACTTTGGGAGATATAAGGAAAAAAATGACTGAGGGAGAAATAACCCCTCCCACCATGGGGTCTTCTCCCTCACTGGCAGCAGTGAGACTACTGAGAAGTAGAACAAAGATTCTTTATTTTTCAGAACTCTGTAAATTAACTTAAATCTTACAGCAGGATGGCAAGTACATATTCGAGAAAAGCAGGAGACTTTGAAGAAACAGTGAGTTGGTTGGTTGGTTGGTTGGTTGGTTGGTTGGTTGGTTGGTTGGTTGGTTAGCTTTTTCAAAATAGGGTTTCTTTGTGTAGCCCTGGCTGTCCTGGAACTCTCTCTGTAGATCAGGCTGACCTCACAGAGATCCACCTGCCTCTGCTTCCTGAGTGCTGGGATTAAAGGCGCACACTAGTACCACCCATCAAAACAGTTTTAGGGTGCTTTAATTTCCTCCCTTCTGTTGTGTGCATGAGAACTACTACTTCAGTAAAACAAAACAAAACCAAGGACTATCTGGCTGACACTAGAGGAAACAGAACAGGGTTGGATCTCTTGCAAAGTCCCTCTCCTGTCATTATCTGAATTTTTTTGTCATTTTTCAAAAGTCCTCAATTGCAAAACTGTGACTGGGGGATGAACTGGTTATATGCATGTTAGGACATCTCTGCTAACTGATGGTCAAGCTAATAGAACAGAGGTTTCATGCTCTAGAATATAGATGTCACAATATTAGCTCAAACACAGAACAGGAACAAGCCTCAGGGAGAACCAGGCTTCCCAAGTTGCCATGTGGTGTGTATGTTTAAAAAAATTTGAGCCATTAAGAAGGGTGTGTTGGCACACACCTTTGATCCCACACTGGGGAGGCAGAGGCAGGTGGATACTGGTGTCTTTGAGGCCAGCCTGATACTCATAGGGAGTTTCAGACCAGTCAAGACTGCATAGTGAAACCCTGTCCCAAAAGCAAGCAAACAAAAACAAAACAGAAAACAAGCCATGTAACGAGCTAAGATGACATGCATAATATATGAAGAAGTAAGCCACAAACTAGAGTAGCTAGAACAAGCCTTTGGGATGTCTTGACGTGAGCAAAGACTTCATTGCATTTGTTCGTTTGCTTCTGGAGGCATGTCGGAGGATGACTTGAGGGAGTCGGTTCTCTGCTTCCACCACATGGGATCTGGAGACCACACTCAGGTCATCAGGTTGCTGGCCAGCACCTGCTGAGCCATCTCACCAGCCCTAGCTAGACAAAGACTTTAAATCGGCAGTTTTGAATATATTCTGGGAACTGAAAGAAACCACATCTAAGGATGGAAGAGGAGGAGGACCCTCCTGAAATAGATACCAATCAAGAGGCAGAAATTAGTTTTAAAACATCAACTAGAAATCCTTCGGAAAAGGGAAGTAATTAAATTGGAAAGTTCACTAGAGGGACTCAAAGGCTGGTCTGAGCAGGCAAATGAAAAATTCTACAAACTTTAAAAAAATGCCCCTTGAGATTCTCCAGGCAGCATAGCAGGCATGAGAAAAGGGGCAATGGCTCAGACACGTGTGGGACACCGTCGTATACATCATGGGAGTGTCCGGAAGATCAGAGAGAGAGAAAGGACGAAAGATGACTTGGGAAGGGTAATGGCTAGAAGCTTCCCACACTGAATGAAAAACATGAATCTACAAATCCATGAAGTTCAATGATTTCTAGGAAGTATAAACTTGAAGAAATCCATACCTACATACATCACATCCAAACTGGTGAGAGAGACAGAGAATGCTAAAAACAGAAAGCAAGACACGATTACGATGGCTCATTTGTCGGCTTGACACAATTTAGAATTAGCTGAGAAGAGTCTCAGTGAGGGAGTATCTACACTGGGTTGGTATGTGGCATGCCTATGAAAGATACACTACTTTATTGCTCTCTGCTCTCAGCTTTGGATGCGATTGCTGTCCCAGATTCCTACTTTTTCAAACTTCCCTACCGTGAACCCGGAACTGTGAGCCCATACAATTACCACAGCAACAGAAAAATGAAACCAAGATTAGGAACTGTTTCAGGTTGCTTCTCTGTTTCTACGAAAAACGCTGACCAAAAACAATTCAGGGAGGAAAGGGTTTATTTCAGCTTCGGGTTACAGTCTCTCATGGAGAGAGAAGCCAGGGCAGGGACTCAAGGCAGCAACACAGAAGCAGGAACTGAACAGAGGCCATGGAGAAGTAGAGTGCTGCTTGCTGCCTTGTTTTCCATGACTTTCTCAGCTTGGCTTCCCATACAACCCGGGACCACATGCCCAGGGTAAACTCCCCACAGCAGACCGTGCCCTGCCACATCCAATGTTAATCAACAAAGTTCTCCTGGGTCCAGAGAGACGGTTCTGTAGTTAAGAGAACTTACTGCTTTTGCAGAAGACCCAACTTTGGTTCCCAGCATTCACACGGCAGTTCACAACTGCCTTTAACTCCAGCTCCAGAGGCTCTGATGCTCTCTCCTGGCCTCTTCTGGCATTGCATGCACATGGTGTGCGTATATACACGCATGCACACATCCATACACATGAAATAAATAGTCTGAAGTACGACGCCTCACAGACATGTGTGCATGCTGCTCTGATGGAGGCCATTTCTCAGTTGCGATCCCCCTTCTTAGGTGACTCTAGCTTGTGTCAAGTTGGAAGAAATCTGACCAGCACAACCACATGAGATTCTCTTTTATTATTATTTTATGTGCCTTGGCATTTAGCCTGTGTGAGGGTGTAAGATCTTGGGGTTACAAACAGTTGTGAGGTGCCTTATGGGTTATGGGAATTGAACCTGGGTTCTTTGGAAGAGCAGCCAGTGCTCTTAACTGTGGAGTCATCTCTCCAACCCCTCATGAAATTCTTAATAAGATAAACAGAATATTTTCCCCCAGACACCATGGATGCCCGGAGATAATGGGAGGCCACACATATGCAGCTGTATGCCACATATTTTGGTCAATGATGGACCATATGTAAAAGAATGGCCTCGTGGAATTATATCACCTGGTGATATAGTTATCCTAGTATGTGTATGTACACTCCATAGTGTTTGCACAATGACAAGGTTGCCCAGTGATGCCTTGTTCAGAACTATCCACACTGCTAAGCAGCACACAACTAGACCAACTCATCTAATGTCACAAAAACC